CCATGCGAAACACAGTAGCATTAAACTGCTATTTTACGTTGGTATCCTGTAAGAAGGTAGTCTTTCCCCGATCGAGCCGACCCATTTGTGCTACAACCATATAGCTGCAGCATGGTTCTACCACGTATACCTGGTGTATACGTATACTTTATCATTAACCCGTAAAAGGCCACTTCTGAACATTGGCCTAACCCGTTGAAGGAAAGACTAATGAGGACATACCTTATTATCACGCTCGGGAGGCGTGATAACCTGTGATGTTATTACCTGTCGCTTGTTTCTGTATTTTAACGTCTAATTTAAACGATACTCTTTTTATATATGATACCGCTATCTAACGGAGACTTGCCTCGTTGATCTAGTGGTACTAAACGCAGCTGCTGATCGTGAGGTCTCAGGTTCAGGTTCAATTCCTAGGGTGCACCTAAAAACGTTATCGAGTTTTGCTGTCAAGAAATTCCCGGTAGCAGTCCATAATCAGGAATTTGGAGGTGTTTCCGTGCCTCGAATAACACGTAAAGCCCGGTCCTGCGGCTGATCTCTCTCTGGTCGTGTCGGATTACCGTCCCATCGGACTATCAGAGTTAGTCAATAGAGTGCACCTGTGCCAGCGTATACACATAGGCACTATAATCTTGATTTGCGCAGTTGGCTAGTCTCCGTCGAAACTGGCCTGCTTGACCTAAATTCTGTCTAGAGTACATTATCGTAGTAGTAATAGTAGTAGCTTTATATGGCTATGAAGCTACTTAAATTAACCTCTAATTTGTAAATGTAATTAGAATCATTATTAATTCAGGCAATCTTATAAATGATTATTAATTCAGGCAATCATAACAATTATACAAATTTAAAAAATAAAAATCATGTACGCACACACTCTCACTCTATCTGTCACACATACACACACACACACACACACACACACACACACACACACACACACACACACACACACACACACACACACACACACACACACACAAACACACACAGAGAGAGAGAGAGAGAGAGAGACACACACACACACAGGGCGCGCGCGCACGCACATAGATTTCGAAACACGTGTCTATATGTTTTTTTGTGTTTTTATTAAACAAAAGCTTGCTAAATATAGGAAGGAACTATCTCCTGTTACTCAGGTTACACCTTTTACAGGAGATAGGGCCACATTGTTATGTATAAATTGCTTTTTGTTGCAATAATTTTTTTTTCAATTTTATAATATTTTTATGGCATTTCTCATAGTCGTCTCTTTCGATACCCATGTCATGAGGTGATATATTACATCACGCCATCACCACACCGTACAGATCAGTGTTTATTGATATTATTGTCCTTACGACTATTTGATACATTGAGCTCTGGTTCATGACGGCTAAGGCTCTTAACTTACATACATTTTACCACCTGTGATAATGAGCGTACGCAGGATTTATGTTAAATGGATGTCGCTTAAGTGCTAGTTATCGTGACTAAGCTCAGCATTAATCAAACAGAGACAGGGACTTATCAGACGCGAATTTATTAACCTTTGGAGAGCGCGGTCTCTAATTTATATTAATATATGTAAATCGAAGTCACTGTTGTCTGCTGGACTCCGGGTATTGATTCCAAGCATTTTGTTTTACGGCACATAGCTTGCTGTGAGCCCAAATTTTTATTGCCTTGTTATCAACAAGTACTGCTTTTAGAAGCCTTTTTGTTAGGCTACTGCCTTTGAAGCGTCGGATGTCCCAATCAGTTGTTTTTATAGTTTTTTTTTATTATATCTAATGCATTATGCAAACGGATTGATAAACAAAATATTTTAAAAAGAAAGAAAGAAAATAAGTGTATTAAGTAACACATTTTAGCAATTTGTTACAATAATAACATATTATAAATTTGATAACTGGTTACTAAAAACCCAACTCGGCATTGTCTTGGTACTAATAAAGTACTTCGACGCTGATCTTCCTTGAGTGCCAATAAAAATTTAACAAAAACTAAACACAACAATATTCATTATTATACAATTTTAATTCAAAATAACTTAAATTTAAACCATACACACGTATGCACTATCACATACATATTAATCATCCGTCTGTCTGTCTGTCCGGACTAATATTTGAAATGACTGAACTGATTTTAATGAAACTTTACAAACAGATATAGAGCCATTCCAGGAGAAATCTAGGCTATATTTCATCCGAAATTAGTAGTATTAATAGATCAGGTAAAGCCGGGCCGTCTCGTTTGTTGGAACGAAGTTACTCATCGGACGGTACGGGTTTGGCGGATGGGAGTTAGGCGATAAAAATTGTAAGATTTTTTCGTCACTACCACTTGTGTCATAGTGTAGACAGCCTTGGCGACGAAATAAGGAAGTGAGATGGAATAATAACCTAATAATTCTAATAATAGACATTTATTTGTATTTGTTAATCAATAATATAATACCTACGTTTATCAATAATAATATACTACGCAAGGAACTTCGTTCCAACCGAGTGTTCCACGACACTCACGCATTTTGTTAAATAAATTTTCGCCCTATTATTTCTACAGACGTTATATTCAAGTATATAGTCTAAGTTGACAGGATAAGACATATTGTACAGAAATCAATTAACTCAGCATAGAACCTATCTGCAGCGTGGGACCGGTTGTTCGGCCGAACTTGTTACCACCTGCACCCAGACCGTTACAAGTCTAGATTTTATTTGTTTAAGTTACACCACTACAGTTTTGGAGTTCGTAAAATAATATTGAAAAAAAAATTAACCTTATTTTTTCATCCATTGCTCTTTATCGGAAGTTTTAGATGACATATTTAGCCGAGGTAAAAAGGGTGAGGTTCTCAATTGACTGCTCCGAGGCGCAGTGGCTCAGCAATGAGTTGCGGCGCTGAGGGCCGCGAATTCGAATCCGAATGCGAACAAGTATTTGCATGGCATAAAAATAATTCTTCCGAGTCTGCATGTTTGTCCTTGTGAAATTTATGTACGTAAACTGCCTGAAAGTAGCGTGGGGTAACGTTTTTTAGAAATATAAATTCTACTATACGTTTCGTATGTATATACGCTTCGAGATATCTTGGTCAATAATTGTGATCAGAAATTAATGCACTTTATTTTTAAACATCACATACCTTAAACTAAATTTAAAGTTTTTATTGTATGAAGTTTTTATTGTACTTAGGCCTCGAGCTTATGATTATGCTTAATCGACCTACTCAAACGGAAATAGAAATAGAAACTATTTTATCCAATATAGATTAAAAATAATACTTATTGAAAATTACTCTTATGTTAAATATACCACTGGGTGTGAAAATATCTCTTTGTCTTTAAAATATCTGGCCTGGCCTAGCTTTTTAAGTGGCATTTTTTTTAAACAATAACAGTTTACAGTTATATAATGTTACAATTGACTCTACTTATTTTAAACGTGGTCGAGCTATGTTGCAGCTTGTAGTGTTATGCTACTTACTTATCATTTTACATTATTTTAAATTCATTTTTCCATTCTGTTTCGATTTTCTGCATTCACCTCAAAACTGGATATTTTACATCACCTTTATTTCCATAGGATCCTGTAACGATTTTAAACCATAAGAACACAATAACAAATCATTTCTACTTCGTATTTTCACATTATCAGCAGTCTACCTTTTTTCGATCTTTTATTTAGTTTTCCGTAACTCTGCAATTTCGGGCTTTGTGCGTGCAGTTGCGCTACCTTTTTTCCTATAGAATAGAATAGAATAGAATAGAATGATTTTTATTCAATATGGATTATTACATAATACTTATTGAAAGTCATTATTTTATTTACCACTGGTTCGGAAAATACCTCTGTCTTGGGAAGAACCAGCAAGAAACCCAGCGGGACTTTTTTTTTAAACATAATTTCACTTAACAATAATTTTGTTTATACAATTTTAAATGAATTTTCATAGAACCAGCATGGTGGCGATCACCTTATTCCCAGGGGTTATTTTCATTCATGTATTCCTTGATATTATAATAACCCTTTTTGTACAGTTTTTCTTTAATAAAACTTTTAAACTTGTTTATTGACAAACTTTGAACATGTTCTGGGATTCTGTTGTAAAAGCGTATACATTGCCCCATAAATGAATTACTAATTCTGTGGAGTCTTGTAAGTGGCATTACAAGCTTATGTTTGTTCCTAGTGTTTAAGGTATGAACATCCTTATTCTTATTAAAGCTATTTATGTTTTTATGTACATACATTACATTTTCATAAATATATTGCGATGCCAAAGTTAATATGTTTATTTCTTTAAATTTTTCTCTAAGGGACTCTTTACAATTTAGATTATAAATCGCCCGTACGGCTCTCTTTTGCAAAACAAATATAGCTTCAATATCAGTCGCATTACCCCATAGCAAAATTCCGTAAGACATTACGCTATGAAAGTAACTAAAATACACTAACCTAGCTGTCTCAACATCTGTGAGACTTCTAATCTTTCTTACAGCATATGCTGCAGAACTAAGTCTGCTTGCTAATTTAGATATATGGGGGCCCCATTGAAGTTTCGCGTCAATAGTAATACCGAGAAAAACAGTGGTATCCACAAGACTCAACTCCTCCCCATTTAAGAGCACATTGGTTTTCGAATGTTTTACATTAGGTATTGTAAATTTAATACATTTTGTCTTATTGCCGTTCAAGAGCAAATTATATTTCATCGCTTCATTTTTCAGATATAAATATTCACCAGGTAGTCCCCTTAACCTACAGGTGACTCTATGCACGCTTAAAAGGACATTCATTTGACTAAACTGAAGTTAACTGTGAACCGATTTACCCCTACCACCGCCGACTCGCGGACGGGGTGAGTCGCCATTCTGAGCTCATTCCTTTTTCGTGCACGGTGACGACAGCACGCGTCTCCGAATAAGTTTTTACTTTATTCTTGCCTTTAGTATTTATAATTAAAATCATAATGCCAAAACGAAGTGCGGAAGAAAAAATCGAGTGTTACGAACGCAAAATTAGAAAATTACGTGAACGCGATATCGGACGACATCGCCGAATACGCGTCATATCATCCGATTCTTCCAATAGTGAAGGTAAGCATATAAACTTTTTTATTATTACGATTCATCATGAGTAGAGATTACGTAACTTTTAGGTTTCGTTAACACGTGTTGTTTTTTACACGCTACCAGCTTTCATCAGAACAGGCCGTGAGCCTCGTTTGTTGAAAAAATAACCTTCATCAGGACAGGCCGTGAGCCTCGTTTGTTGAAAAAATAACCTTCATCAGGACAGGCCGTGAGCCTCGTTCGTTGAAACAAAATGCTTCACCAGGGCAGGCCGTGAGCCTCGTTTGTTGAAGTAATTCACTTTTCTAACCCTAAAAATATTCGTTTTAGGTGTTGAAGATGCCAATCAACCTGAGTTAAGCCTTAAAAATAATGCGAAGGATCTCGGGAACTCTTCAGGACAGTGTCCCACACCATCCATCAGAGAGCCTGAGCCCATGCCGGAGCCCGAGCTTACGCCAGAACCTGAGCTCGCAGTGGAGCCAGTGTCTAGACCAGAGACCAGGACAGAGAAACCATTAGAGCCACTGGCTTTGGAGGCAACCTCGTTGGAACAAAACCCGAACGATGAATCAGCCGAACCAGAATTGGACCCTGAACTTTTAGAATCCCTCGGTGAATCCACCAGCGATACCCCAGAGTTTGGAGAAAGAATTCACGAGAGTTTAGCCAAATTGTGGCTTCCTCTACTCGTCAAAGGCTTGCCAAAAGATAAAAAAGAAAAAAATTTGAAGGAGTACTTAATCCCGGACAACTGTAGGTTGCTGCAAGCGCCTAAATTAAACGCAGAGATATCAGCAGCAGTTATAGACTCTGTAAGAAACAGGGATAAGATCCTGGTAGTTCACCAACAACAACTAGGGTCGGGGATAACAGCCATTAACAGAGCGCTAAATACTCTCTTAAGTGGGGATGACAAGAAGAATGCTATCCAACATCTTAGCAATGCCTGCCGTATACTATCGGATTTGCATACGGTAAATACGAATAGCCGCATAAAGCTCATTACACCAAACCTGGATAAGAACTTCCTCCACATAGTTCAAGATGCCGTAAGAGACGAAACTTTGTTCGGTAACAAACTTGCAGAAAAGATCAAGGCAGCCAGAGCAATTGAACGACAGGGTCTGCAAATAAAAAAGACTAATCCGAAACCTTCCAGCTCTCAATCCAATAGCCACCGCTCTTCTAATTCGGGAAACTGGTCCGGCCCACCCCGGTACTCATCGAACCGAGGCAACCGAGGTGGGAAGAAAACGACGACGCAGAGCCGCCGTCCATACCTGAGCTCGACGCAACAGCAGCCAGCATCGAAGCCTGCAGCAGCGAACAAGCCTCGTGCCCTGGCGCCCCAGTAACTCAGGTACATGCAGGCAGAATTAAGCACTTTTTTAATTGTTGGACGAGAATATCATCCAATTCAGTAATTTTAGATTGCATACAAAATGGTCTATACATACCCTTTTGCAAGGAACCCTGCCAAACAAACGTTCCTAGCAACACCTTTTCGAAGTTAGAGCACCAGGAAATGACAACTGCGATTCAAAAACTGGTTGACTTGGGTGCCGTAACAGAATGTCTTCCAAGTAGAGACCAGTTTGTCTCCAAAATATTCCTTGCCCCAAAGACAAACGGCAGCAAGCGTTTTATACTAAATTTGAAACCATTAAATAAATATGTTTCAAAGTTTCATTTCAAGATGGAAGATTACCGAACAGCGGCAAAGTTAATACCTCAAAACGGATACTTAGCCACAATTGATCTGAAAGAAGCCTACTTACTAATTCCGATTCATGCTGAACATAGAAAGTATTTAAGATTTCAATTTAAGAGAAACACTCAGACCACGACCTACGAGTTCACGTCAATGCCCTATGGGCTGTCCGTGGCTCCTAGGGTATTTACTAAGATTATGAAAGAAGCCGTAACTCATTTGAGAAGTGCGGGTTTTAATTCAGTAGTTTATCTAGATGATATTCTCTGCATCGGCAATACTTATGACGATTGCAGATCTAACGTAAATGAAACTTTGAAACTATTGCAATGTCTAGGTTTCATCATAAATTTCGATAAAAGTTCGCTCCAACCTAAGCAAATTTGTAAATTCTTAGGTTTTATCTTTAACACTAAGAATCTAACCGTTTCTCTCCCAGATAATAAACGTAACAGTATTACACAATTGGTTCAGAAGTTTACTTATCTACCTACATGCACTATTCAAGAATTTGCTCAATTAATTGGTAATCTAACTGCGGCGTGCCCTGCTGTCCAATACGGTTGGTTGTACACCAAGCTATTGGAACGTCAAAAATATCTCGCGTTATTAGAAAATCAGAATTATGAGAGTAAAATCAATTTACCTAGTATTATCCTTGAGGATCTTATTTGGTGGACTAATAACATTCAAAAAACATCACATCCAATGCGAAACGCCGCCTATAAAATTGAAATTTACACAGATGCTTCACGAACTGGCTGGGGCGCAGTTCGCGATGAAGAACGCGCTCACGGAGGGTGGTCAGTTAGTGAACGTAATTACCATATAAATTATTTGGAACTATTGGCAATCTTTCTCGGACTCAAAAGCTTGGCATCTAAAGAAACCAATTGCGCGATACTGTTACGGGTAGATAACACTACAGCCATCAGTTATGTAAATCGCATGGGCGGAATACAATTCCCCCATTTAAACCAGATCGTTCGGCAAATTTGGCAATGGTGCGAAAAGCGTAAATTTTGGATCTACGCGTCATACGTCAATACTAAAGAAAACTGGGCTGACGCTGAATCTAGAATTATAAATCCCGACACCGAATGGGAACTCCACTTTACCAGCTTTTAAACCATTGTATCACATTTCGGCCAACCAAATATAGACTTATTCGCTTCCCGCACCAACGCCAAATGCACAAACTTTGTTTCTTGGAGACCGGATCCAGATGCAATGGCTGTAGACGCTTTTACTATAAGCTGGAGCGGATGTTATTTTTACGCATTCTTGTTTTTCCTTATTGGCCTTCACAGCCCTGGTTCCCCTTATTACAAGGGTTATTAGCATCCGACATTCTGTTCTTGGGCCCTAATAAGAATCTTTTACGGTCACATTCTAGGGAACACCATCCTTTACACGCGAGCCTTACCTTGGGTGTCGCGAGGCTCTCCAGCAAGCTTTCTCCCGAAGATGCCCACCAGAGGCCCTCAACCTCATGCTAGCATCACTCTCCGATAGTACGGTAAAACAATATAATGTTACCTATAAGGCGTGGTGGCGGTTTTGTGATAATAGAAATATTAATCCGTTCCAACCATCTGTATCTCCTTTTTTATCCTTTTTAACTGACCAGTTTAATGGCGGTTGTACATATGGAAGTCTGAATTCTCATAGATCGGCACTGTCATTACTTCTCGGCAACAATATTGGTTCAGACGAACGTGTAAGTCGATTGCTAAAAGGAGCTTATAAATTAAGGCCAAACGTTCCCAAATATACAAAGACCTGGGACCCTCAACGTGTTTTAAATCACGTTGCAGAGTGGCATCCCAATACAAACTTGAACCTGGAAAAAATTACTAAGAAATTAGCAATTTTGTTAGCCCTCTGTACAGCACATAGAGTACAAACCCTATCATTAATTAAATTGGAAAATATATCATTTTCTCACAATAACGCAAAGATCATAATTACTGATATAATAAAGGCTTCCGCCCCAGGCCGAGAACAACCTGTACTCCTGATTCCATTTTTCTTAGAAAATGTGAATATTTGCCCAGCTACCGTTTTAAAAGATTATATTTCTGTCACAGAAAGTAAAAGAACAGAAAACAGAGGTAAACTGTTCCTCACTCACAAGCCACCACACAGACCAGCCACGACACAATCAATCAGTCGATGGATTAAACAAGTGCTATCGGAGAGTGGAGTGGATGTATCAAAGTTTGGCGCACACAGCACTCGCCACGCCTCTACCTCAGCTGCGGGCCGTGCGGGTCTCAGCGTTGATGCCATCCGTAAAGCTGCCGGATGGACTCCTACATCAAATACTTTTGCGCGATTCTACAATAGAACCCTTGTCGATGAGGGGAAATTTGCAAGATCTGTTTGCTTTACGTCGAATCTTTAGGTTAAGACTGTATCGGCACTCATAAATACAAAAACTAATTGTTCCAATTATCGTGATTATATAACGTTTCATGTACGATTAATAACTAATAAATATATTCTAAGAAATATATATTATTTTATTACAAGGAAAAACTTTCTGCTCTCAAATTCTACCTGGTGAATATTTATATCTGAAAAATGAAGCGATGAAATATAATATAAGATCAAACGAACTTCTCAAGTGAAGTTCGATCATTATTATATGAATCGCTTCATTTGAAGATATAATCTATTACCCACCCTCCCATAGCAGCGATTTGCTAGCCCTATTACGAAAAGTTTTTCTCTACGCTCTAAAAATAATGAGCTCAGAATGGCGACTCACCCCGTCCGCGAGTCGGCGGTGGTAGGAGTAAATCGGTTCACAGTTAACTTCAGTTTAGTCAAATGAATGTCCTTTTAAGCGTGCATAGTGTCACCTGTAGGTTAATGGGACTACCTGGTGAATATTTATATCTTCAAATGAAGCGATTCATATAATAATGATCGAACTTCACTTGAGAAGTTCGTTTGATCTTATATTGTTGGCGTTAAACCAATGTACTAGTTTCGATAGAGCATTATTTACATCGTCATATTCAATTGACTGCCGTTTCAGTTTGAAAATTAAAGAGGTATCGTCAGCAAATAATACTATATCGTGATTGTCCCCTACAAGATAAGGTAAGTCATTAATATAGATTAAGAACAGGAATGGGCCAAGAATCGAGCCCTGAGGAACGCCCATTGATACTACTGATCCGGAGGAACATTTACCATTAATGACGACTTTTTGAGTTCTGTTACTTAAATATGAAGTAATAAGTTTAAGCGCCAAATTTTTTACACCGTAATGTTGTAGTTTCCTGATTAATGTATCATGCAATAAACTTCTACTAAAGAAATGTAGGGAGAAGGCGAAACTTAAGCAGTATCAATATGTGTGGACAAAAAACGGGAGGATCTACGTCAGGAAGAACGACACATCTCCGATAATTGTGCAGCTAAGTTGCATCCATATTCTTCACGAACGTTACTCAACTATATATATATTATGGTTTCTTTTACTATATCCTTTATATTTAATAAAATACCAATTATATTTTTTCTGGCGTCTTGTATATTATGTATTATTTTATTTTACTTTGTCAATCTATGAATTCATCTATTATATTGTTATTATTCATAATAATTACCCGTTCAATATTTATTTATTAAATCTAACAACAATACTTAAAACGTCTATATTGTTACATTCGCGATATTTATATATATATATATATATATATATATATATATATATATATTTAATAACTGCTCTGCATATTTATAAGCTCGCACCCTTTTATGTTGACTCGACTATATTAATCAAATCGTTTAAGGATTCATTCTGTTATATCTTATTGATAAATTTTATACTCTACCACCTTATACAAAAAATCAAGTCACTATTAACTAGCAACTGCCGAAGTGATATATCATTGTTCGTACTACTTAAGTCTAACGTAAACAAATTATTAGTTCTGTTACTCTGTGTAGCTTTAAAGTACTATAAATTTAACACAATTGGGTACATATTTGATTTTGATTAATGGCTGTAAATAATTTGTACTGTTATTATCAGAATGTTCGTGGTCTTAGGACTAAATGTCTTGAATTACGACTAAATATTTTGACGAACGATTACGACATTATAATTATGACAGAATCATGGCTACACAGTGGAATTTTTGATGGTGAGTTGTGCGACGATAGGTATGACGTGTTCAGGGCTGACAGAGATTTACGTAATAGTGGTAAAAGTACTGGTGGTGGAGTATTAATACTGACACGACGTACACTCGGTGCCATGTATCGTGACCTCGGCGTATGCGGTCTTACTGAGCTATTGTGGATTACTATTCCTTCAAGCGCGTGCGCTTCAAATTCCAACTTACATATTTGTGTAGCATATATTGCCCCTGACCCTCATCAAATGCCATCGGATCTCGTTTTTATTAAACAAAAAATTAATAGTATTATCGAGCTTTCTCCAAATGATAATTTTGTAATAGTAGGAGATTTCAACTTGCCGTTCATTTCTTGGAACCCAAACGGATATACAGCTTTGAAAAAAGGGCCTACTGAGGTACAAGAAGCGAGTATCCAGCTGATGGAAACACTAACATTTCACGGGTTAAGACAATTTAATACTTTAAAAAATCATGCTGGTAACACATTAGATCTTGCATTCTCTAATCTACCTCTGAATATCATCCCTGCGGCTGCGCCGCTACTCAGGGAGGACCACGCACATCCTTCTCTTTGCTTCATAGTTTTGGATTTAAACATTACTCCTCTAGGGGAAACAGCTGCGCCGAGGCGAAATTTCAGGAGGGCTGATTATGAAAAAATTAATACATATCTTTTAGAACAGGACTGGAGGTCTCTTTTATGTACAGGCACTGTAGACGAAGCTACAAATACCTTTTATAACATACTGGATAGTTGTGTTCGTTTACATGTGCCTTTTAGTTATAACACAGGGAAGCGATCATATCCTAAATGGTACACACCTGCTTTAATAAAAATAATTAAGGAGAAAAACAATGCTCACACACGTTGGAAAAAATTCAGGAATAGATTAGATTACGATGAGTTTTCGTTACTCCGAGCAAGAGAACACCGTGTTCAGAGAGAATGCTTTAATAAATTTACGTCAAGTTGTGAAAATAGCATCAAAACACATCCTAAAACATTCTGGACTTTCGTCAAAGCCATTCGGGGTGGGTCAGGTTACCCTAAGAAAATGTCTTTGAAAGATATAGAGTACACCGATGGTATAGACATATGCAATGCTTTCAACTCATTCTTCAAGAGTGTATTTGGTATTCCTAGTAATAACTACATATATCCACATACGGAATCGTTGTGTACTAACACCGTTTCTAATGTACAGACAAACGCTGCAATAATTGAAAAAATGTTGAAAACTTTGGACACGAACAAAGGTGCCGGTAGTGATGGGTTACCTTCTTTTTTTTGGTCACGATGCGCTAAATCACTTACTCTCCCCTTGACTATTATATTTAATCGCTCTCTACGTGAAGGGATATTTCCGCATCAATGGAAGTGTGCACACATAATCCCTGTACACAAGAAGGGATCACGTACAGAAATAAATAATTATAGAGGCATTTCTATTTTGAACACCGCGGCTAAAATCTTTGAACGAGTAGTATATAACGTAATTTACTCCACGCTTTCACGTACCTTCCCTGAGCAGCAACATGGTTTTTTACAAAGGCGATCCACCACTACGAACCTGGCAAGTTTTTCTTCTTTTGTCCTTGAAAATATGGATCAAGGTGGGCAGGTTGATGTGATCTACACTGATTTTGAAAAAGCTTTCGATCGTGTGGATCACATGATCCTGCTCAACAAATTACAAATATTAGGGATTCACGGTGACTTGCTCCGATGGACTGAATCATATCTCACAAACCGCTCACAAGCAGTCGTGATAGGTGGTTTCCGTTCGAGCTACATAAACATACCTACAGGTGTTCCTCAGGGCTCTCACTTAGGTCCACTTTTTTACAATGCCTACCTATATGACATTGGTTCGTGCATTATACACACAAATTACCTCATGTATGCAGATGATAAGAAGATTTTTTGTAAAATTAACACCATACATGACTGCCTATTGATACAAAAAGACCTGGACCGTTTATTTGAATATTACAAAATAAATAATATAACTGTCAATGCAAGCAAGTGCGAATGTATTAGTTTTACACGGAAATCTAAGCCAATTCTAAATAAATATCACTTTGACGGATTAGAAATCAGCCGAAAAGTAAGTGTTAGAGATTTAGGCGTAATTTTTGATCATAAAATGATACTATCCGAACACATTGATTACGTTATCAGTAAAGCCTATAAAAATCTTGGTTTTGTTCTTCGCATCTGTAAACCATTCTCGAATATTAATACAATTAAAATGGTTTATTTTGCATATGTCAGAAGTGTTTTGGAATATGCTAGTTCAATATGGTCTCCACAGTACAATGTCTACAAAAGCCGCCTTGAGCGTATTCAAAAAATATTTGTTAATCACCTTAACTTTCGCTGTCGGAATAAAATGTTTATATATATATATATATATATATATATATATATATATATATATATATATAAAGGTAATGTAATATATCATTCTACCTGACTATCTCTCCTGATCTGTAAACTTATGACCACCTTCATTACATTGAATTGCTTATAATTTTGCTTATAATTTATCTATTAGATTGTTCTTTTTCCTTTTCTTCTAACAACAATACACCTACCATCAAACAATATAAGGGAAACTTGTTATTGGCCATACTTTTAGTTTGTTACATTAATGTTAATATTTTCTATATACGCTGTTGGTTTTCTAAATAAATAAATAAATAAATGATGAACACAATCGAAAGCCTTGGAAAGGTCACAGAAAATACCTAAGGCATCTTGTGAATTCTCCCAGGCATTAAAAATATATTTCATAAGCTCAACACCGGCGTCAGACGTCGAGCGACCCCTTGTAAAACCAAATTGATTTTTATGAAGTAATTTATTTGTATTAAAAAAAATTAACAATTGATCCAAAATTATTTTTTCAAAAATTTTACTGAGAGTTGGTAGTACAGAAATAGGTCTATAATTAGCGGGGTCCAATGTACTACCAGATTTAAATAAAGGTATTACTTTACTATACTTCATTAAATCAGGAAACACACCAGAATCGATACAAGTATTAAAAATAATAGCAAGATGAGGTGCAATTAAATCTATTATGGACGCAATCACTGTAACGGAAATCCCCCACAAATCTGCGGTTTTCTTTACATCAATGGTTTTGAAGTATTTTACAATATTATGCGGTAATACTTTTTCAAATCTAAATTCTTTTAAACAGGTATTAACATTCTGTTTAAGTAATGATTCGGCGACAGTTGGAGAAGCATTCATATATCAATAATATCTCATTTTTCACTTAAATCTTGCCGTTTTTCTATTACAAGCCTAAAACCAAAATTTGACATGTTTTGACATCG